CATTTAAATATTTTTACACAATGACAAACACAAAGTGTTTTAACATACAGTCGAAATCAAAATATATTTTTAATAATTTAAAGCTAAAATTTACAATATATAACTTTTAGAAAATGAATTTAACTTTATTAAATTATATATCTGGAATCTCAAAACTATCCTCTTCCAAAATGTTTTATTATAGACGTACTCCATATGTATCATCAGACACTTCGTCTTGCATATTTTCTTAAACTAGTGCATCCTCCTCTACCTCCCTCTTCATGAGCAACCATCTCCAACTAGTAGCCTCAACGATTCACCACTAACATGCCATTGGCACGTTATACCTATATGTTTGTTACACCTATATATTATGTATCAAACTCATTTTATATCTATACATTTGTGTACAAGTGATGAGTTAAACTAATGAGGCTTAAAGAATTTTTTGAAACTTATACGTAATAACATAGTATAATAGTTTCAATATAATAGGATTCTTCTTCTTCTTTTCTTTTTCCTTCTTCTCGTACCGCACTGTATTTTCTATTGAATATATTCTCCTTTGAACTCTAAAAATATAATATATGTATTGATCTTGAACTATGAGAACTTTTGCAACTCTTTGTTAGTAGATTTAAGTTGCCTTATAATAATAATAATAATAATAATAATAATAAAAGAAACTTACATGTCAAACTGATTTACTTCCTAAATTCTATATATGGAGTACATTACTTTATTTTAAAAGGACTAACTACTAATTGCATGTATTTTCTCTCTCTCCCTCTCAAGTATTCTTATGTGTTATAAACTTGAGAAGTTTGTGCATATATGTGATACTTTACATAAGACATTTTGTTTTTATTTCTCAAAACAAAAAATTAAAATTTAACATAATCCTTCAAGACTTCCATAAACAGACAACTCCATTTCCAATACTTGAAGGAGGATAAACTTATGGCATATATTTTAGTGTAGAGTACTTAGATGGTCTTTCTGCAATTAAGTTCAATATTGTAATCTTCATAAATCTTATTATAGACTAATTATCCAACTTAACCTAATTTCCTTTTAGGAGATTCATGCGAAAATCTATCTCACATGGAATCATCTTCTGGTGAAATAAGAATTTCAACACGACCAATCTTAATGCTAAAAATGATGCTCAATTAGTTATGTCAAAGAAATGCAAAATCTTTTTCTAACTCTCCCTCGATTAAATCTCAATCAATTGGCTAGCAATCTTTTTATATCGTAAATACTCTTGTCAAATTGGCTAGTGATTTTGAATGAAAAGAGAGAAAACAAGGTGGAGATGGCAAGTTCACTCCTAGATGGTGGTCCAATTTTTGATGGACAAATGATATAAAGTCCACCCTAATGGACAACTAGTACGGAACTCCATATTGATGGATCAATCATGTGGAAACCCACCTTACCTTAGTATAGGAACAATGTAGAACTATGTCTTTCAAAAAGACTTTAAGAAGTTTGTGGATAAAAAAATAACTAAAAATAAGGAAACTCATAAAAAGATTTAGATAATGCTCCTTTACAATGCTATCATTTGATTGCCTAGGAACCCAAATGAAATGCTTGCATAAGTGAATATGTGAATTGTCTACTTAAGTGAATAGGAAATCTTTTAGCCTAGTGGGTAAGAAATGAAAAAATAAAAATAAAATAATATGTAAATGTAGATCAAATATGTATATTTTTTTAATATATTATTATTTTCAAAAATTTGTTAAACCTTTCTTATTTAAAACTTTTTTCACTTAAATAAGTAGGAATCCTTAACAATAAAAAAAAAAATTAAAACACATAAAATGTCACATGGTGACAGGTGAAATGACAAAAGACTGTTCTTTGGAGGAGGCAACAAACCATAACGCATCCTAACACCTTAGGAAAGGCAATATAACCCTTCCCATAAGGTTCTATGCCAAATTTTACCTCCATAATGATTATTATTCTACCAAAAGTTATTAACTAACTCTTTGTGCACTTACTAACAATATGAAGACACATCTTATAAACCCAATGAACACAGTACTCCTATAAATAAGTCGGGGAATGTATGCATATACAATTTTTATTCTCATATTTATACTCTAATATTTTTTAATCAAGTTACCTTTATTAATTTGGACTTCATAATGGTACCTTAGAATAAAAGACAAAGATAAGGTTTATCTATCTTAACGATGATCTAGCTATCATATCATGATTTAATATCCTCTTACTCACTTTGTCACTTATCAAAATCTATATATGTGACAATTAAAATATCTTACATTAATCAAATTATAAGATACTTCTAAGAAAAATAATAAACAATTAATTGATAAACTTCCTTTTGATTACTTTTCAAATTATTCAAATAAGAATTTGACAATTAAGTTAACTTGAATCATAAATTTTTACCAATCAAGTGTAAAAGCCATAGCTCGAGAAGCTGCAAACCGATCTGCATATGATTCAGAATAGGGTATAGTCCAAGGTGAATTTAATGTTATCCCAATTTGACCTTTTTGAGAAGCCTACAAAAGTGAAAATCACCCATGAAATTAATAACTATAGTGGTTGTAAATATTTAATTTCATAAATTCCATTATTTTTTAGAATATTTAACTTTTAAAAGTTATAAGTCACTGAGTTCAAACTACTACTATTTCATTTTTCTCTTAGAATTAAAATTTCAACACCAAAGAATGTGACCTTAGTCCATGTAATTTCATTTTCTTCATAAATGCCCAATGGATGGAGACTTAAAAACATGAACATCCTCTATTCCCATTATGTTAAAAGTATGGAGAAAGGTGTTACCTTTCTTTGAGTTTGTGATGAGAAAAGAAATATGGTTAAGAGTTCACTAAATGGATTATGTTTTACATGCCAACAATGTCTTTATCAATTTTGGTTGTCTAATATCTATTTCTTAGTTTGCAATGAATGAAAAGAAATCTTACACAAAGAGATTCGGTTAATTATGTCCTAATTAACATTATCCTATGGTCAAAATATGAAGTTTATTAATCATCTATTTTGACTTTATGTTTCCTCTTAGAAGCTAAGTTCTTGTTTTAGCATGGTGGGGAATCAATCGGGATCCCCTAAGTTTCTTAGAAGGTATAGTGTTCTTTATTGAGAAAGAAACTTATCTATTGGGATATTTAAACTTCCTATCATTTTTTTTTTGGTATGGTAATATAGTCCATCTAATTAAAAACTAATGATTTTTTTTCTTCTGCAAAAAGATCCTCTTCTTTCATAAGTACGAGAATTTGGTCAGTGTCAAATCAATTTTGTATATTAAAGTTACTTTCTCACCTCACAGTTATTAAGTTATAAGTAATGATCTTTTCATTACTATTTTTAAGTGAAAATTAATAAGAAAAATCTTATTTTTAGCGAGATAACTAGACTAAATTCATCTTATACCTAGTAATTAGACATCTAATGTAAATAGTTAAGCCTTGAATAAATTTAGACCTACTAATATTGGAGGTGTGCGTAGAGATTGTTGTAAAATAGAAAAGAATTTAAGGTTATGGAATCGAATATGGCATAGATTCTGGCCATTGGAAAAGGTCTTTTATATTATTTCACAAAGGTGGTTGATAAAGTCTCTTTTTGAATTATGGTAAATGATTCATGTATTGTTATTTTTAGGTTAATGACGATGTGCTACTTGGCCTCTAAATAATGTGGCAAATGAAAATAAATCTATTTTTGTATAATGCTATTTTTCCATATCAGGAAATAAAGGAATTACTCAAACCATTCTAAACTATAACAATTACATATAATTGGTTATAATAAAATGATTGAATCACATGATATACAATGTCCAAATATAGTTAAGGTATGATGTACATATATACATGATAAATTAAAGGATTGTTAATCAACTAACCTGATACTTATCTCGATACACTTTAACTGCAGTTGCATGAGTAAGAAGAAAGTTATGGGCAACAATGTATGGTTCAGTAGCTGAATCACCAGCCGTGCAGTTGGGATTAACAAACTTGGAACATCGCCCTGGTGCAAACATACCATCGGTATAGGCTCTCTTCACAACAGTATATGGCTCATTAAGGGTTATCCAATGTTTTACTCTGTCACCAAACTCTTTAAAGCATAACTCTGCATAATCTTGGAAATCCTTCCTATAAATTATAATAACAATTAGTTGCAAATGTAAGTATATCACTTAAATAGTAGGATACTTACACAATTTGAGAACCACGAAAACCGCCATAAGCATCTTTTAGGGTTTGTGGAGTATCCCAATGGAAGAGGGTGATAAACGGCTTCACTCCTGCAATTCAATTTTCGTATTTGCGAATCATCAGCTCAGTAATAAGAGTATTACGTCATTTGAACTTGAACGCTCTTTATCTAAAATTAATTAAAATAATATAGAAAAAATTAGTTTGTAATATTACCATTCGATATAAGCTCGTTAATAAGATTGTTGTAATATTGGATTCCCTCATTGTTTATTCCTCCACTTAGTTTTCCACCTAAAACAACCAATTCAATTGTTAAAAATTAAATTACTTGTAAACCCAAAAAAAAAAAAAAAAAGCTTTCATTTTTGACCTATAAATTCAGTTAAATATTAAAAAAAATTTGATGCATTATCCAATATATATATATATATATATATATGTATATATAAAGACAAGGAGGATATATAGCTTACGGGGTAATATTCTAGACCACGAGATAGAAAATCTATATGCGTCAAAACCAATATTCTTCATTATTTGTACATCTTCCTGTCAAACCAAAATTTGTAGGAATAATTTGTTAAATTTGGAAAATACCCAAGTTGTATATTTTTCAACTATACACACACACACACATATATATATATATATATATATATGAAAATGGCATGTGTTGTAATAATGTATATATTTAATTTGTAGTTGAAAAAGTACTTTATAACGATGATATGAGTCATCTGCAATAGCTCCATTACTGTGGTCCTTGATCTTCTCTGCACAGTCACAACTTTGTTTACATTACAAGAAATCTACGTAATATTCCATTAATGATATTATATACCATTTCGTTAAAAACATATATCTTTTTAATTATTAATACATCAAGTAAATTAATATATTTATTAATTATGCAATGCACATACATCAATCAATCATAATATAATAAAATACGATAATACAATTTAATTTCAACTTTTAATCTCTAAGTAAATTCTTTCTTGTTTTGTTTGCATACTTGTGTTTCTAGGTTTATATATATATATATATATATATCTATATACTGGTTTACTAGATCAGAGCTTAAATTTTAGAATTTTAGATATATAGCTTTTGAACTAGTAACTCAACCAATGAACAAATATACAAACCCTAGAGCATCATCAATCATAATTTTATATTATATATATATACCCTTTGCTTTTCTTATCTTAAAATTATTTTTGATCATGATATAATTCATTAAAGATAAATTTTAACTTTATTATTTGTGTTTTTTTCTAAAATTTTGTAAATTTTTTTTTATAATTTATTATTTTATACTTTAAACATTAGTGAAATTTACTAATTTATTATTATTAAAAAATTAAATAAAATATATGAATTATTAGTAATATATGAATCATTAGTTAATAAGTTTTTTTTAAAAAAAAAACCTATAAATTTAAATTTAAAAACTTCGAACTAAAATTTATTTATAAATTAATTATAAACATCGAATAGATAAAAACGAGATAGAAAATTAACCAGGATATTTTTCGGTAAAGCTATCCCATATGCTAAGTCCTCTTCCACCTTCGTGTGCTGCACCTTCATACTACAAAATCAAACCCATCACCACAAAACCGTTAGAATCAAGATTTTCTTTAAGAAAATTGATCTTTTCCATATTGAATTGCAGGCAACATCATATATATATATGTGTGTGTGTGTGTATGATGATGGAGAGAGACCTGGTAAGCAGATGAGGCAGTTCCGAACAAGAAACCGGCCGGAAACTTGCTTCGACGAAGATGATGATTATTTTCCATTGCAGAACCATCTTTAAAAGCTAGCAGAGCCACAGTGATGATAAACCAGAATATTGATGGTGCCATTTTTGGGCAACAAGGTTGTTGTTTAGAGTTAGGAAGAGTATGAATGTAACACAATATATGTGTATATATATATATATGTAGACTCTCTTTAGGCTTTAATGCAAGTAATTTCTTACTTTTTTGAAAAAAGAATTGTTAAAACTAATACGACATCGTTAGTTTATTGTCATGACTTGAGAAGTAAGTAAATAAAAATTACAGCCAATAGAATATTATTTGTGTTTCAAGAAATGTATTCTCTACCTAATTCTTATGGATGATCTTTCTTGTTAACAAGAGAGATAAATCATGCTATATAATATAATATAATATATATATGTGTGTGTGTGTAGGGATGAAGTTTGAAATATTACATACGGATTAAATTATTAAATTAGTTTTCAAATTTTAATATTTACTACAATTTAATTGTTTATATTTTTTACTATAGTTTAGTACATAATATTTTTATTTATTTCAAAATGCTAATAATTCATTTCTTAAAGGAAAGTTAAAATGGTTATGTGATATTTGAATGTTTAAAAAAAAAATACCTTCAAAAATAATTTTGATTAATTAATTATTTAAAATTATTATTAATTTAATTAATTTATCAAAATTATTTTTAAAAAGTATCTAAATATTTACTTAACCATTTTATTCATTTTATTAAGAAATTAAAGAAAACTAAACGTTTAAAATATATTAAAAACATTAGAAATCAAATTGTAACGAGAAAATTAAATTATAATAATTCAAATTTCGAGAATTAATTTAATAATTTACATTTTTATGTACACTCTTCAATTGATAAAACCTTAATATATTATCTAATTGCACTCTTTAGTGAAAAAATATATATATATATATATTTACAAATTGTACTGAATGTTTACATCAATGATAATAAATATTTGGATTCTTTTGTCCTGAAAGTACAAAACTCTAATTCATTAAAAACTTGTTTTAGAAGCCAATCTCAAAAGACATTTTGGTAAATGTTTGGTTGAACTTCCACTTTCTTTAACTTTTTTTATTTTAATTAAATATTTTAGTAATCAAATCTTAGATTTAAACTTGTAAGTAAACCCCAATATTGTACTATAATATTTGTAACTTTATATGGAAGTAAGAGAAGTCAGTTTTGTACTCACACAAATGTGGCTTTG